AAATGCAAGTTATAGCCAGTATGAAATACTGCTTCACAACAGTCTGAATCTAGGCTAATTAAGATTTGCAACACCAAATATTAGTAAGAGTGTGGAGCAACTGAAAACTATTCACCATTTCTGCTGATATTGTAAAAATAGTTGGGGAACTCGCTGATAATTTCTTACAGAGTTAAACATGACTCTACCTGTGACCCAATATTCTACTTTTAGGTTTTTATTCCTTTAAAACATGTTAACTACAAGACTTGTACAATGTATGTATTAAAAGCTTTATTCATAATGGTCTTAAATATGATATAACCCTAATATCTATCAACAGGAAAATGAATCAGATTGTGGTTTAATTTTACAGTGTAGTACTACTAATTAATAAAAGAGTGATTATTAATACATGTAACAACATGAGTGAATATTTTTAACATTACCATATGAAGCAATAGAAGCCAAAGAGTACATACTATGTGATTCCATTCTTATAAAGTCAAAAAGGAGATAATTTTTAGTATAGAGATTAAACTAATGGTTACTGTGAGTGTTAGGGATTTAAAGAAATGAAGTACAAAGAGATTTTCTGGGGCAATGGACATGTTCTTTATCAGTAAAGTTGTAAAGCAAATACAAAGTTTGAAACAGTAGACTATTTCTGGGAACTGTGAACTATTTATGGTTTTCATTTGTTGGGATATAAAAAAAGGGAAATGACTAAAGGTGAAGCTTGATGGGCAGAGTTCAAAATACAGGATTTGATATGTTAATTAATATGGTTGGACTTAACCAGATTTTACACTTTAGAAAGGATTTTTGTGGGGGGCGAGGGAAATAAACATTGCACTTAGGGAGTACAGTTAAAAACTTAGCAGTAATCTACTGAAAATATTGAGGATCTGAATTTTGGTGTTTTAAAGTAGAAAATGGAGGAAATATGTTAACGTATAAGTTTTGAGTTATTTGGAAGAGTACTGGTTCAGGAGCATTACTTGGATTTTGGTTTAGAACTACTGGGTTGATAGATAATATTCTCATTAAAAAATTGGAAAAGGAGATGTGTTTTTGGCAAAAATCTGTCACTGTTGTTTTTTTTTTTTAAAGATTTACTTATTTATGCATACAAAAACTGGGGTACAGGCCAGAGGTGTGGAGCAGGGTGAGAGGATTCACCAGAGACAGTGGGGAACAGAACAGGCAGATCACCTGAAATACACTGCTGAGGGAAGCAGCGGGGCCAGTCAGAAGAGGCCTGCTGCACCATTTGGGTAACTTCCTGGCCCCAGGAGTGAACTCCTGCTGCAGTGGCTGTGGATAGCTTCATAGGTTGCGTCTTAACCTCTTGCGCCACCAGGGAGGCCCTGTCACTGTTTGTTTGTTTTTTGTTTTTCGTTTGTTTGTTTGAATTTTACTATTTTTTTACATTTTTTTAAGATTTTTTTACATCATTGTTCATTTTTAGACAATATTTGCTTCTCCCTGCCCACCCCATAGAATTTCAAGTTTGCTTCGGATTGATAACTTCTTGCACTTTATGACTAAAGAATGAATCTGGGCTTTTTATAATAATGGAAATTCCTTAAATTCTTGTGTTAAAATAAGTTATAAGCACTCAATTTGTTTCATCTTTATAAAAAGAGGAAACACTGAGTTTCAGGATTTTTTTTTCCAACGAAGATAAGAGTCTGTGTTCTAACAGACCCCCCCCAATTGAAATATTGTTAATTTTAAGAGCAAATGACATAAAAAGAACGTTAAGCTGCTGCTTATATTTGCCTGAACAAAAAACCATTGTTGTCTGTATGTCTCAAAAAGTCACTTCACAAAGATACTTTTATAGTTATTAAATACAAAACAGGATTTCATTTTTATATTCCAACCTTATTCAAATGTTACTTTCAGTGGAGTTACTTACTATTGAATTCAGTATCTGGCAGCATTTTTCTCCGCAGCTGTTCCCTTATTTGGCCAAACTTTCATTCTCTTTATCTATTTCTTGTGCCCAAGTTAGAAAAAAAAAGTTTTACAAGTGAGAAAAGGTAGTGTTGTTAGAAATTTGATCTTGGTTAATATCTGATAAATCAATGCAATAGGACTTTTGATAAATTTGTCCTTTCAGAAATAAAAGTACAGTAGTTTAGAAACACAATTTGCCCAGGGGCCTCGGGGTTAAGTCTCAGTGCTATGACTTTACCAGCATAAGTTTGATCCCCTGCCAGGGAGCTAACCCACATATGGCGCAGCAGACCTCTCCAGTCTGTGCCAACTGTTCCCCTCAGCAGTGTATCTTAGTAGATCTGCCTGTTCTGCTGGTCTGTCTCTGGTGAATCTACTCCCCACACCTCTGGCCTATACCCTAGTTCTTGTATGTATGTATAAATAAATAAAAATAAATCTTAAAAAAAACACAACTTGCCTTGTTTTTGGATAGACTTTATTAAGAAATTTATAACTGTTTGGCAGTGAGGGAAAAGACTCGATAATTCTAAGATACAGTGTCTCTAATTTTGAGTCATATACTTAAAGCTGTGGAAATTGGTTATCCCTTCACACAGGTATTCTTATTTCTGCCAGTGCTGCTGTTATTCCTTAATAGCAGGATTTATTAAAAAGTGTCACATTTTACTTGATGTGAAAAAACTTGAAATCATTCTGTAGATTCTGATACACATTACTCAGAACTCTGAGATTCTCATTTTAACTTTTTCATATAGACATTTTTGATTTGCTGTCATTTTATTTTATTATGCTTTGAGAGTGTATCAGCGCATTGCTTCAGAGTTTGAATATTTATGAAGGTTCTAACATGTCCTCTTGCATAGAGAGGTAGTGAGAGCCTTCTTCTAGTTAAGTCTAGCTTTCTTTCTCCAGCTCATACAAAACACACTTTTGGTAACTTGATTACACAACTACTTGGAAATGTAGAGAGTTGCTGCCAGCTTTTTCAGTAAATCAATGAAGATTTTTTTATGTTGATGACTCAGCATTAACTAGACAGCTAGCAGAGTAACAGAAGTATGATACGTCTATATATGCCTGCTTTTTTGGTTAACTTTTTTTTTGGAATTTCTGTTTTACCACATAGGAGTACAAAGAGTATAATAAGCATTCACTTTTTTTAGCTGAGGTTTTTGGTCCCCCCCCCCTCAAAAACCAGCAGTTTACATTACAATAGCTTTTTAAAAGCTAACTATAATTTCTTAGAATTGAAACTCCTTGTCAAATATGACAAGAACTTGCCAGCTATTCACTATTCCAGATTGAGTCCTAAGGATATTTCTGAGACTCTAAAATGTCTCATCTTTATACACAGAAACACACAGGTCTATTCCATTTTATAAATAATTTTAGGTATTGTACCCTCCACGAAACATTCAACACTACCTATAAACACTATAGGTAGTTTCAAGGAATTTCTTCTTAGAATTGAAACTCTTGTCATATTTGATAAGGGAATCTACCAGTGCTTTTGTAAATGCATGTATTTGAAAGACTTGGAGAATGAGAATTTTGTTAAGTAGTCAGTTTCCCTGGGCCGATGAAGTATAAAGTTTTGAAATTTTGCATGAGGTCGGTATGCATTTGAAGGTATAGAATTTTAAGTTATAGAATTAGAATAGTGTTGAACAAGTAGAACTATAATAATAGAGATTTATGGAATTAAACAAGAAAATGATTTTGAAACCCAGGTGCTGGAGTGTATGTATGAACAAGTTAAAGTTAGGGAACAAAAGCAGGTTGGGAAACTCCATTTAGTTCACATATTATCCCCTAGACATGTTTTTCAGATCATTTAATAAACTCACTGCCACACCACCCTCTTCTATGCTTCTGTTAAAGTCACTTTTAATCACTCACTCTGCTTTACTTTCTTCATAACACTTAACTATAAGAAATCACCTGTTCTTGGACTGGTTAATCCATCTCTTCCACTAGACTGTGGGAGCGCATCGGGAATTTTGCTCATTTTGTTTGCTGCTGTCCCCCAGAACCTTAAAAAAAGGCACCAAATTCTTGATACTCTGTAACTGTTTAAAGAGTCACTGTGTGATAAATTTTGAAGACACTTAGACATTAAGATGATCTTAGAGTTTTACAGATATTAAATATGTATATTTTAGATATAGTGTTTATAGATAGTGTTGAATGTTTTGTGGAGGGTACAATATCTAAAATTACTTATAAAAAGGAATAGACCTGTGTGTTTCTGTGTATAAAAATGCGATATTTTAGAGTGTCAGAAATATCCTTAGGACTGAATCTGGAATAGTGAATAGCTGGCAAGTTCTTCAGTTTTAATTTTTGGTGAGGTGTTAGAATAGAGGCAGTTAACTAATTTGTTGATTAAAATATATCTGTGTACTTTAATTCAGGGTAATAGAAAATAAAGTAATCAGTGAGATAAACAGCCTACCTATTGATAGGTAGGTTAGGTGGTAATATTAAGAAATGAGAAAAAGTGTTGTTTTTTTTTTAATATTTAAGGAGTAGGTTTATTAGGAAAAGGGATAGAAGAAAAAGGGATACTTGGAGAGACACAAGTGGGCAGAAAGAGCTGCCAGAAAAAGAATTATAGTACACAAGAATGTGGAATGGCTACATGGTCATTTTTACAGTTTACCATTTCTGATCCCCCTTTTTAGCACACTAATTTATTTTTTCAAGTTAAATAATTTATAAATTTAAAATTTTTACAAATCCAAATTTTTCCTTTTTGTATTTCTGTTAGTCTTTAATGAGATGATTAAATCAAAAGGTAATTGTGTCATTTAACTATTGGACACTTTCTTTATGACATTGCATTTTAATGTTTTTACTTATCATTTATTACTCTTAACATATACTATTCAGGAACGTGTTTATCCAGTATTAATCTTGTTGATAATTTCATTTAATAATAATTGATATTCTTTTGAAATCCTAAATTTTGAGTTTTTAGAAATTTAATTACATTCAGCTGTCTTTTCAGTTTGTTTTAAAATTTAGTTTGATCCTTTTTTAATGTTTTTCAGCCAATGGTAATGATAGTAAAAAATTTAAAGGAGAAGATAAAATGGATGGTGCGCCTTCTCGTGTACTTCATATTCGAAAATTACCTGGTGAAGTGACAGAAACTGAAGTTATTGCTTTAGGCTTACCTTTTGGTAAGGTGACCAACATCCTTATGCTGAAAGGAAAAAATCAGGTATTCCTCTTTCAGGATTTATAAAATGTTAAGCTCTAAGCTCTCCAGCAGGTGTGAATTAGCTCTTGCCTAATAGAGGGATAGAATTTGTAGGTCAGTTTTCTGAAAGAACATAACAGAAGTCTTACTGTGATTTTTTTCCTGGTAACTGTGTGCGGGAAACTAATGCCGGGGAGTTAAAATGAATGAGTCACCATACTTTTCAAATCTTGCCTTTTGAACGTGCTTTAAGACTCTGATTGAACAATTGTTAAGAGATTGTGAAAAGTATCAGTGAAATTTTTTATTGTGGCCCTGCTCTTTGTAATATCAGAAATCATTGAGACACAAATTAGTAGCATCATATCCTTAGGATTATTGGAAAATGCCTGGTAGCATCAGGAGAAATTAGTCATTATTCCTAGCTATACTTTATAGAATTAGATGCACTAGTAGCAGTAGGGCCCAGGTATATTAAATAAGAAATTTTGTTTAAAATTTTTTAATAAATACCACTTAGAAGAATGTATGACATTAAAATTGTTTTCTTTAGTCACTATTACTCTGATGTTTGATTTTTAAAAAATTTTCCTTTGTCTCATATTGCTTTAAAAATGATTTTGACATCTCTAGGTTAATAGTAGATTTGATGTTAGAAAATGTTCATACTTTGTTTTCTCTAGCTTTTGTTAGGGAAAAGGAATTTGTGGTGGATGGAAATTTCATCAGTGGTGAAACGAGAAACATCTCATACTCAAAAAACTATTTTGAGATTTTATCTTTGTCTATCTAAATGTCCATAAAGGATTTCTAATTCTATTAGAGCATTTAAATATAACTTTAAATGTTATATTCTAGATATTGGTTTTTCTAATTAGTTGAATGTATTCTACAGATATCGAAGTCTTTGAATTTAATTCATAGTATTAAAAGTAAAATTTTTGCTATTTAAATTTTCAGGCTTTTTTGGAACTAGCAACAGAGGAGGCAGCTATTACTATGGTTAATTATTATTCTGCTGTGACACCTCATCTTCGTAACCAACCGATTTATATCCAGTACTCCAATCACAAAGAACTAAAAACAGATAATACTTTAAACCAAGTGAGTATGTGTAGGTACATAAATATAATGGCCTAGAGCATATTATGGCATTCACAATGTATGAACAGAAAATAAAACTTTTAATTGTGTAGGAGAGATTTCTGTGGGCATTTTCTTCTTATATTAAAGATGTTTTTTTTTATGTTCCTAAATTTTATGTTAATTTACTGAAAGTATGTACATTCTATTATTTTCATATTCTAACTTAGTACCAGATAAATTATTTAAATAGTATTTGTTTAACTGCTTTTAAGGTTCTGGTGAAAATGTTCTGTTTCTTGTTGTAAGGTTGAAAATTTTGTATAGAAATTGCTTGTGAGATAGAACTTGTTAGCATAAACTTATACAACTCTATGCTTAGACTTGAACGTATGACGTTCAGAGCCGTTGGTTGGTTTGACTTTTTATGGGTCTTAATTTCTTCTTATGGAAAAATTTCTATTGAAGATGTGGTAATGATTTTCCTGAGGAGGGGAATGTAAGAATGGAGAATATATGAATGTATTTAAAATTGTTATGTAGAAGACATTATTTAATATAATTTTTAAATAGTTTTAAAAATGATTTTAGACCTCAATATATAGTAATGTCTAAAATCTTTAGCTCTGAAAATTTCAATAGTTTTTTTATCTAATTATATCTTCATGTTTCAGTAAAATATAAATTATAATCTGGCTCTTATCTGAAAATTTAATGGAAAATAATTCCTCAGACTTTATTTAACCTTTAAAAAAATGTAACAAGATCATTTTGATAGTTGATGAAAAATAAACTTGCAAAACTTTTCTAAAAAAGAAGGCTAAAATTTCAACTTTTAATTTGGTAATTTTATTCTTTTTGTACCTTCGAAAGTCATATAAGGGGCCTCCCCGGTGGCGCAGTGGTTGAACGCTGGGTTGCGAAGCTGCCCGCAGCCTCTGCAGCGCCAGTTCAATCCCTGGCTGCTCCACCGGAGGAGGGTCCCACATGGCACGCAGACCTCCTGCCGCCCGCTGCTCCCCTTAGCAGTGTACTTCGGTCCTTCTGCCTGCTCTGCTCCCCGCACTGTCTCTTTTGAATTCTCTTACCCTCCCGCGCTTCTGACTATACCCAGTGCTTGAATAAATAAATAAATAAACAAATAAATAAATAAATCTATCTTTAAAAAAAAAAACAAAAAAAGAAAGTCATATAAGAATTTATGAGGAAATAAACCAAAATAAAGTACCCCTTTATCCTTTTTGACTTAGAATTTAAAATTGCATTTAATATCTTACTTTACATGTTAGTATTTTCAGTATAGTAATTCATGAATGCATCCTCAATTTGAAAGATTCAAATAAAATGAACATATGAAGAAAAAATGTGAGTGGGGGAAGGTGCATTTGTCCTTTCCAGTTAACCAATGAAAAGCCTCACCAAACAGCAAGGACATTTGAGTAACAAACTTTATGATGGTCATGGAATAAGATGCTTATTCCATTGCGAGTTTTTCCAGGTAGAGAATGGTCAGTGCAAAGTTTCTTGAAACCCTAGTTAATCTTGAGTCATCCTTTTGATACTATAGTTGGTATGTTATAAGACCTGACTGTTTTTTAAGGATACTAATTAATGGTATATTTAAAATATTTCATTATACTCCATTATTTTCCGTGCTCTTACATTATGTTTTCTTTCACCCTTCTTTGTTGTCTGTTCCTAATTCAGAATAACGTTTAGGTTTTATTGATCTTGTGTGCTTTCCTCTAGGGTAAAGAGGAAAGAGTTGTACACTAAGCTGGTATTCCAACCCCCCTAGCTCTCCAAATAACAAAGAGGTCTTTACTCTGGGCCAACAAAACTGCCTTTTGGATTTCTGGTTCCCTTAAGGAGCATTTTATTCTAGTTTTTAGTTTTGGTGATAGGGGGAGGGGAAGAAGAGACATACAACTGTGGGAATTTAGCCAGATACTCCATTAACCCTTTTATTTTCACCCTTTCCCTCCTGTGAACCCTCTGATTTCCAATATCATTCATGTGACTGTTACCAGTACACTTCCTGTTTACTTTGTGTTAGCATTGTTTTCTGTTTACTTGGTTCTGTTCATTTCTGTTTCCAAGAATCTGATGAAACTATTTTCATCTAATGATGATCATCTCTCTATGTGGTGTTTACATTTATCCTATTTCACACAAATTTATAGCATTTTAATAGGTTTCATGGTAGGAGAGGGGCAAAAGAATATGTGTGTGAATGATGACTACTTCCTCAACACAGTCAACAAATGCTATCAATTCACTCTCCTTGATGTCAACCTATTTTATCTATCTTTTTTTAGACACTTCACCTCTTAATGGTATTGCTGTAATAGCTCTCTTACTGGTCTACTTTTTTGTGTTTGCTTTTCCTAGTACAGTAAAGTTTGTGTCTTTTCAAAATGTATAAATCTGACTAAATTACTCCCTTCAGCAGATCCTTTCCATGCTTAAGATAAAGACTCTCTATTGCCACTGTTGCTCGCTTCTGTTTTATGGCTAGTCCCTCCCTATTTGCCTGTGTTTGTATCCCAAAGGTAATTGTAGATTACCTTAACATAGTATGCTCTTTCATTTTCTGTCTTTTGAGGCCACTGTGCCATCACTTTTGCCTGGAATATCATGGTCTGTCTGCCTGTCTTGTACCATTGTTCTACCCCACACTCCACATGGCGAATTGCTAAATTCATGTCTTTGCTGTTTCCTCTAAAATGTCCAACCTCTGATCTGCCAAGGAGATGTTAAGTTTGGATTAAAAATGCTTAATGCAGGGGGCCTCCTTAGTGGCATAGCGGTTATGTCTCAGCACTATCACTGCTATGGCTGTGTTCTATCCCAGCCAGGCAGCTAACCCACATACAGTACACCAGACATCTCCTTTCTCGCTCACTGCTCCTCTTAGCACTGTATGTATTTTGGAAAAATCTACCTGTCTCCTTTCCACTTTGTCTCTGGTGAGCCCTCATCTCCTTTACCTCTGGCCTACACCCGAGTTCTACACACAAAAAAATAAATATAAAAGGGGCCTCCCTGGTGGTGCAGGGACTAGAGACTCTGTTCTATCAAGCTATTGCTAACCACTGCAGCACCAGTTCCATCTGCCTTTTCTAGAGGTCTGGTGAAGCAGACCTCTCCTGTCTCTCCTGCTACTCTCCTCAGCAGTGGGTTTCAGTAGATCGGCTTACTCTGCTCCCTACTCTGTCTCTGATGAATCCTGTCTCCCACCCCTACTCTCGTACCTCTGGCCTAGATCCTAGTTCTTGTCCATGTAAATAAATTGTAAAATAAAAATCAGGCCTCCCTGGTGGCGCAAGGGGCTAAGTCTCAGCATTATGAAGCTATCTGTAGCCACTGCAGCAGGAGTTCAATCCCTGGCCAGGGAGGTGACCCACATGGCACAACAGAACTCTCCTGTCTCGCCTGCTGCTCTGCTCAGCAATGTATCTCAGTAGATCTGCCTGTTCTCACTCTATCTCTGGTGAATCCTGTCACCCCCCCCCACACACACCTCTGGCCTGCACCCCAGCTCTTGTATGTATAAATAAATATTTAAAAAAAAATAAAAACCCTTAATGCAAATTAAAATCATTTAAATGAAATACTACCATATATTACCAGATTGACTAGATTTATTGCATGTATTTTTTTTAAGAGATTTTATTTATACATACAAGAGCTGGGGTACAGGTCAGATGTGCAGGAGGGTGAAAGGATTTACCAGAGACAGAGTGGGGAACAGAACAGGCAGACTGACGAAATACACTGCTGAGGGGAGCAGTGGGTGAGCAGGAGAGGTCTGCTGCGCCATGTGGGACCCTCGCCAGCCTGCCAGGATCAAACCTGCATTGCAGAGGCTGCGGACAGCTTCACAGTGCTGCGCTCAACCACCTGCGCCACCAAGGGAGGCCCTTATTGCATATATTTTTAATGTTTCTTAAATACGCTAATAATTTTTAAAAACTCCGTGATTTTAAGTGATCAGCTACATTGTGTTGACATTTTTTCTGATTCTTGCCAGAATTTAAGATATTTATAGTTTTAGTGTACCCACTTAAAAAGACATAGTATCAAGTGTTAGTAACAATGTGGAGAAGCTTGAACACTATGTATGAGTGATAGTTAGGTAAATTGGTAGCATCATTATTAAAAACTGGAAATATATCTACTAAAGGTGAGCATATACATATTCTTTGATTTAGTAAATTTACTTAACCGAAGAAACCCACATATGCATCAAAAGATATGTATATAATAGTCCAAAGCTAGAAACAGTCCAAATGTTCAGCAATATTGTGATGTATTTATTTGTTGGACTACTGTCTAACAAAAAGAGTGAACAAGCTACTGGTTTCTGCAAAACACACATGTTAAATCATAAATATAATGTATGTAATATATAGTATATAAATACTATATAATACTATTTAAGTGCATTTATGTTATTTGGAGAAAACGTGAGTGTGGCTTTTCTGATAATCTATTTTTTTTTTTTTTTTTAAAGATTTATTTATTTATTTATTTATACGAGCACTGGGTACAGTCAGAAGCGCGGGAGGGTGAGAGAATTCACCAGGGCCAGAGCGGGGAGCAGAGCAGGCAGAAGGACCGAAGTACACTGCTGAGGGGAGCAGCGGGCGGCAGGAGAGGTCTGCGGCCATGTGGGACCCTCCTCTGGTGGCCGGGGAGCAGCCGGGGATCGAACCGGCGCTGCAGAGGCTGCGGGCAGCTTCGCAACCCGGCGCTCAACCGCTGCACCACCGGGGAGGCCCTCTGATAATCTATTTTTTATCTGGATAATTATTATATATCCAATTTGGGATATTTTATCCATTTATGATGTGTCCTTTTCTGTGTATATGGAACAGTGCAGTAAGAAGTTTAAAATCTGGATTGGCATGCCAACTCTGCTTTGTGAATTTGAAAAATGTATGAAATTGTTTTTATTTTTTTTTAATTGAGATGAGGTTGGCTTACATTGTTGTTTCTTTTGGAAGGATATTTCCCCTTTCTGGTGCTGTTCCCTAGCATTGCAACCACCAAAGCACAGTCTACCACCACAGTCTATTATGCTCCCTCTCTTCTCCACCTTGTGCTGCCTATCCTCCTACCCCTTTCTCACCCCCAATGTGTCAGTTCTGTTTTCAGTTTTGCTTTCTAGGGCTAGTTTTTGATTTTACTGTATCTGACCCTTTGTTTATTCTTATTTCACCTAAAAGTGCACCATCTGGTATTTGTCTTTTTCTTCTGGCTTATTTTGCTTGGTACAATCCCTTCTAGCTCCATCCTTACTGGTGCAAATGGCATGAATTTATCTTTTTTGATTGCTAAGTATTTTTCTATTGTATATATATGCATTATTTTCTTGATCCATTTATCTGTTTTTGGACACTTTGGTGGTTTCCATAGTTTGGCTCTTCTAAGTAGTGAACATGGAAGTGCAAGTTTTCTTTTGAAATAGTATATTTTGTGTTCTTTGGGTAGATACCGAGGAATGGAATTGCCAGGTCATATGGGAGATCCATTTTTAATGTTTTGCGACTCCTCTACTACTTTCTGTAGGGGCTGGAGCAGTTTACATTACTACCAGGAGTGTAAAAGAGTACCTTTTTCTCCACATCCTCACCTATACTTGCTGATAACTCTCTGGTTAACTCTTTTGCCCATTTTTTTATTAGATTTTCTTTCTGTTGAGTTGTGTAAGTTCTAACCAGCCCCTTGTCAGATGTATGTTGTGTGAATATTTTTTTCCCATTCGGTTGGTTGTCTTTTTTTCTTAGTTTCTTTTGCTGCACAGAAGCTTTTTGATGTGATCCCAGTTGCTTAATTTCTCTTTTGTTTTCTTTGCTGTTGGAATTTTATCTGTGAAGATATCATTGAAGCTTAACTGTGAAGTGTTTTCCTCTGAATTATATGGTTTCAGATCCTACATCTAGCACTTTTTTTCCCATTTTGAGCTGATTTTTGATCTAGCTTAGTCTTTTGCATTTGGCTGCCCAGTTTTCCTGGCACTATTTATTGAACAGGATTTCCTTGTTCCCAATGTATGTTCTTGCCTCCTTTGTCATATATTAATGGTCTGTATAGGTGTGGGCTTATTTTTGGGGTCCTGATTCTATTCCATTGGTCTGTGTGTCAGTTTTGTTCAGTACTGAGCTGTTTTAATTATGATAGCTTTATATTATATTTTGAAGACTGAAAATGTAATGCTGCCATATTTCTTCTTTTTTGTCAGAACTGCTTTGGCTATTTAGAGTATTTTGTGGTTGCATATGAATTTCAATAAATTTTTTTGGCATTTTCCTATGTTCAGGTATCTCTGTACTTGTTATTAGAGATAAATATATATGTAGGACATGTTCGTGAGAGTAATATTGCAGTGAGCTACTTAAAATATTTAAATATGTATTGGTTCAAATCTATCCAAACATTTAAATAATAAACGTTGCTCTAGAAATCTTTTTATCTTGCTTGATTTTATTTTCTTATCATTTTCCCACAGTTGTGTAAATGTGTCTGTTGCATTAAAGTATCATGTTTTAAATACTGGATTTGAATTAATGATTCACTGCAGCCAAAAAAAATTTACAAGTCCTGTTATTATCATTTAAATGATGAGGTTTGACTAGATGAGTATGTGGTATCTTTGAGTCAGGTTATAGGATCCCCTGGTTGTGTAAATTTTTCAGTGAAATGAGCATTCTACTCTCCTCCCATCTTTATTGAAGTATAATTGATATAATTGTGTCAATTTAAGGTATACAATGTGTTGATTGGTCATACACATATATTGCACAGTGATTACCACCATAGCTTTGGTTAGTAACTCAAAAAAATCTTTTTTCATCAATTGGTTTCATCTTTGGTCAGGGGCTATATTGATCTTCTCTGTAAAATTCCAATGTTAGTATATGCACTATCAAAACAAGCACTGGTAATTCTTGTTTAGTAGTATCCTAATTCTTTTGTATTCTCCTTTTTCACCTATCATCCATCTTTTACTCTGTTTATATTCCTATTCATCTGTCAGTACAGCTTTTTCAAATAATAGAGCAATGGAGAGTTATCTGTTGTTATATTTAGCAACTTTTTTTTTTTACTTTGTGGTTTTTCTGATTCCTTTTAAGATAGAAATTATTTCCTTATCAGTGAATCTGTCATAGTAATAATAGAAAAGGCACAAGAGTAATAAAGGCATTCTTTTTGGCACATTTAACTGACAGATACTGTATTTCTTTAATTCTATGTGTACTTTTTTCCACATCTTAAAATCTCAATCAAGATTCCTCTTAAAATTATAGTGTGGTTTAATTAGTATTTTATTAGCAAGACATAAAATAAGTGTACTTTATAATTGATGGTTCATTAGGTACTGTATAATATGTATGTAAAGTATCCTTCATATTTAATTTGTATTCCTGAAAATACTCAGTACTCCTGCAAATTTTGTGGCTTTGTGCTATAGTATGTTTTAAAATTTTGATGTCAGTAGACAACACTAGTATGAAAAAGACTTATTTGTAGCCTGAGTATTACCATATTTTGATTATATTAGAAATAATCTTTATGGGAGGTCTTCTGATATTATAAAAATTGCCTTGTTGAAGTTTACCATGAGCCTTTTTAATTCAGTGAGTAATGTTAGACTGAAACTCAATCTCCAAAAGTTTCCATTTAAAACATTTTCTAATTACGTGAATCTACCAAAACTACATTTTGGTTTTTTTATTACATTGCCTATTTTTGCTTGTTCAACATTAGTATTAAACCCTAGATGATTGTTTTAAAGTAAATGCTGCTAGAATACTTGAATTATAAACAGCCAATAACTGGCTTATGGCAGGTGCTCACAGTATTAAATTATGTGAGTGCTAAATTTTGTTTGATCTCTATGTGTTCTAGAAAATAAATGAATAGTGTAACATATAGTAGTGTATAAGTGAAAATACTGGGTGTGTTTCTAACGTACTTATCTTTTCAATTTTCAGCGTGCTCAAGCAGTTCTTCAAGCTGTGACAGCTGTCCAAACAGCAAATACTCCTCTGAGTGGTACCACAGTTAGTGAGAGTGCAGTGACTCCAGCCCAGAGTCCAGTGCTTAGAATAATAATTGACAACATGTACTACCCTGTAACACTTGATGTTCTTCACCAAGTAAGGCTGATTTGATTTTCATGTTTACCTATAAACTGGAGAAATAATAATACAGTAGATAATATTTTGATTTTAATATTTTACAGATATTTTCTAAGTTTGGTGCTGTATTGAAGATAATCACATTTACAAAAAATAACCAGTTTCAAGCTCTCCTTCAGTATGGTGATCCAGTAAATGCTCAACAAGCAAAACTAGTAAGTGTAGAGTTTTTGGTTTTTTTTTTTTTGTGGGAGCTAGTGATATTTGTCAGCAGTGGTAACCACTGCTGTAGATATATGGTTGATGGTATGTGTACTGACATAACTTTGCAATACTACATAGCATTATAGATAGCTCAAATTGGTGGCACTTAGGTATTATCAGAAAAAATTAATATTTGTCTTAAAAGAGAAATATTTAAAGTCATCTGTAGTTACAGCCTGTATATATTTGCACTTTTGATTAATTTAGGGTCTAAACATTATGTGCTTTGGAGTAAATATAGAGGGATTGTATTGTGCATGCACACCTGTTTAACATTCTCAGTTTATTTAAGACTATCCAATTTTCTGTCAAGATTGTTTTTAAGGACAGTCTTTCTGAGTAGGTACCTATGTCTACTTCTTAGTCACATCATTTACCTGCTTTTGCTGCTGATAATAGGTTGTGTATTAGAAGTAGTATTTCCTATGTCACAGCTACTCCCAACTATAGGCCAGATATTTGCTTCTTGAATGCCTAATTTTCTGTTTGTGTATCTTATTTAAATCTACCATTGGTTCTCTTTAACTTCTTTTGCCACATTACCTCACTTTTGTTACTATTTCATTATTAATCCATTAAGTGTATTAAACCATTAAATCATTTCTTTTTACTCCCTTTGTCTTCATTTTCTCCATTTAACTCTTCTCTCAGATCAAGATAGTTTGTATGGAACCAAGACTTACAAAAAATAGGACTCCTAGACTATCCTGCTCTAAAAAAGTCATAATCTTTGGAGTTGGGACCCTAGTACTCTTGTTACTTTCTTTGTTTGAAAACTCTGGTAACCACTGCTGTGTAAAGTTAGCTTGAGTGATGAGCAAGGTAAACTCTTTCCAAGTACTAGTTATAATTTTTGTCAGTTACTTTCAGTTAGTTCAAATTTTCCCTTCTACCATTTTGCTTTATAACAGTAGTAATTGCAGTTGATCTAAGCCAAAAGGCTGAGAAGCAATGAGAATAGTAACTTACTGAAAAACAGATTAACAATAGAAATTTGTTAATAAAAGTTGGAGGGAAAAACACTATAAAAAACACTATAATCTCTTGAATTTATCTTAAGTTTGCTATATGTTGGTCTAGTCTCAAAAATCGATCAAGTCAGTAACAAGAGAATGTTTATACTGAAGGTTGACATTTAAGGTGATAATCACAAGTCATATTAACAAACATTGTTAAATAAAAAGTAAATGTTTTAAATGTTCCTCACATTTATTTTTTTTTTTTTAAAGATTTATTTATTTATTATTTATTTATTTATTTATTTATACAAGCACTGGGTACAGTCAGAAGCGCAGGTGGGTGAGAGAATTCACCAGAGCCAGAGCAGGGAGCAGAGCAGGCAGAAGGACCGAAGCACACTGCTGAGGGGAGCAGCGGGCGGCAGGAGAGGTCTGCGCGCCATGTGGGACCCTCCTCCGGTGACCGGGGAGCAGCCGGGGATCGAACCGGCGTCGCAGAGGCCGTGGGCAGCTTCGCAACCCAGCACTCAACCACTGCGCCACCGGGGAGGCCCTGTTCCTCACATTTATTAATGAAAAAACCCTAATGCCTTTTTCAGAAAGACTTATTGATAAGTAGTGTATTGGCAAACAAAGATACGACATAGTCTCCTTTTTACCTGTGCTTTTAAAAATTCATTGTTTTATAGAATCCTGAAATTTTAACCCATATAAGTACAAAACAGCCCTCTGGTTTTTTACTAGAAACAGCTTTTTAGGAGCATTATCAGTTTTTCTTAATGAATATGTACAGTTGTCACTGGATAGTGACACTGTCTTTTAGAAGTTCTGTAATATAGTCATTTTATTTTAGCATACCCATGGATTATTTCTCATTGATTTCTTCTAGAAAATTTATGTATCATTAGCTACTAATAGTAAAAGTAAACATGAGGTGAAATATGGGCAGCAGCAAGATCGTATTAGTCATTCCTTATTGCCTAATACACATTGCTTTATGCAGATATTTTGAGAGATCCAGTAAAATGATCCTTTCCTGTTTTCTTGGGCAAAAAAGGGGCTCATTATCTCCTTTCTTTCTTTTTTTTTGGAAAGCATTTACAGTCTGTATTTCCACATTCATTTGGTTGGAGGATGTATAATGAAACTAATGATTTCAGTCTGTTTTAGGAAAATCCTGCATGGTTTACTTGTCTTAGGATGGTTTCATATTGGCAGATAATTGGCCTGACATTTTTTATTTCTGTAATAAACATCTTAATTTTGATAATTTTTTGGGAGTAGCTAGAGTTAGATAATGAATTTGGATCTTAAGATATCCTTGAGCATCTTCTAAATCTGTGCCCCCCCCCCAACAGTCTTTTCAGAAATGTAGGTATTACTAGGTAAATAGTAAATACCATTAAAAGATAGATAGTGCAAAGTTTTATAGTGACTTCTGTTTCCAGTTCACATGCAGTGTTCTGTTGTGCTTTTTATATCAGTCTATGCCAGATATCTTTCCTGAGTTTTATCATGTTTTAGCCATAAATTTTACATTTACTATGAAAATTTTTTTCTGATTGTTTTTGCTTATTCTCTAAACTTCTCCTGTGAGAAGACACATGCCAGTGTCTGTGCAAATTAACTTGAATTTTTACTATCATAAATCTTTGTTCCAGCAAGATCACTGCAAACCTGATTACTGAATATAAGGCTGATCTATGTGCTACTTTTTTTCTGAAAATTTGAAAATTACAAGCTGGAAGTGAGCTTGTATGCATATATATTTTAATTGATTTTTTTCCCTTATATCAGCCAACAGTCGAAGATGGCTGGCTGGGTTCCTCTTATACACATCCTTAGTTTTTGTTCCTCTCTTTTGTTGCTAACAGGAGGTTTTAATTTACATGTTGGCTAATTTCTCTAGTTCTTACAGTTTAGATTGTGTGTCTACCACCTACATACCTACATAAAATTTTTTTTTGAAGATTTATTTATTTATGTATACAAGAGCTGGGGTACAGGCCAGAGGTGTGGGGGTGAGAGGATTCATCAGAGACAGAGTGGGGAACAGAAGAGGCAGATGAAGTACACTGCTGAGGGGAGCAGCGGGCCAGTCAGGAGAGGTCAGCTGTGCCATGTGGGTTGCTCCCTGACTGGCTGCAGACAGCTTCTTAAGTTGTATCTTAAACCCTTGCCAGCAGGGAGGGTTTTCTGCTTGGCAGTTAAGGAACTTAATGTTGCTTGCTAAGAATTTAGTCCCAAAGAAACTTTATTGTGACGTTAGTAACTTTGTTTCAGTAGTTTATTTTTTTACATTAATCTGGATTTTGTTACTCAAAGTTAGGTCTTTTCTTACAAGATAGTAGATTTTTTCTTTGATAATTATTGAAATAGTCACGTCAGAGTGAATTTTGCAACTCATCTTTTGATATTCATATATTGGATAGAGACAGATTCTATTACTTGGTTCACATTTTACCCATTGGAAGGTGGCATATGTAAATGAATACCTATTTTAATACTTTGTTTACCTTAATATCGAAGAATTTAATTAATACTTTTAGTTTTCTGACTGATGGAGTGGATACTTGGTACCTAGCCTAACTCAGATTACTCAGATGTAATTCAGATCCTGATGTGTCTGTTGCTTTTGAGTTTTCACCAGTACTCTATTGAAATGAGTAGGCTTGTGTTCAATTATTTTTTTTTTTAAGAGTGTTTCTTTTTCTTGTAATAGGTGAGTAGTAGTGCATTGTGTATATATATCACATCTTTTTTTTTAAGATTTACTTATACAAGAGCTGGGGTATAGGCCAGAGGCGCGGGAGGATGAGAGGATTCACCAGAGACAGAGGGGGGAGCAGAACAGGCAGACAACTGAAATACACTGCTGAGGGGAGCAGTGGGCGCGACAGGAGAGGTCTGCTGCACCATGTAGGAATCTCCCTGTCCGGCTGGGAATCGAACCGGTGCTGCAAAGGCTATGGACAGCTTCACAGCGCTGTGCTCAACCCACTGCACAACTGGGGAGGCCCTGTGTTCATTTATTTTCAAGATAGTTTTTAACTTGATGAATACATTCACTATAAGTCTTAATTTGATATATTAAGGGAAGGGCTTTCTTTTTTCCATAGAGTGGGAATATTTGAACGAATTACCAGCCTTGTATACATTAAGCAGCTATAGTTTCTCTAAAACAGGTACTTCTGTTTTTAAGTTTCAGTTACTTTTCTTAGTTAATCTTATGATGATTAAAATAGGTAATATAAAAATTCTCTTTCAGACATCAAGTAAGTGAAAAAAAGCTGTTGTCCTATTAAAATACACTTTTAACACTTTAAACACATCTTATGGATCTTGATGTACATAAACATCTGTTTATATATGCTTATCAGAAGAACTATTGTTTTATTTTCACTGTGGTATATGGAGCTAAACATACTCTCCATTTTCAAACTGCTGCTTTATACAGTGTTTGTTTATCTAATGAAAAATTAATATATGCCCCTGTTCTCTAATTTGTTTCAGTCACCTGGAGCAGAAAAAGAACATAGTGATAATAATAAACAGCATAGTCCTTTCACATATATGATCTTATAACCCTGTGAGGAAGCATGGCATCATTAACTCAGTTTTCCAGATTAAGAAAAATTCTGAGATTCAAAGAGGTTAAGAAACTTGCTCAAGATGACTTAATTGAGTGTAGACTTTTGTGTCTAGAGCTGGCATTCTTCTATTTCAGATCTTTCCTGAGATGATGCTGGATTTGCTAATTCAGCAAATTACATCATTCAGGAAGATACTAGTTAAGGTTAAGGAAGATACTAGTTTTTGCCACATTTCATCAATATAATTACTATTATACATCAATGATATGTTTTTGACTTGAGGGACTTCATACAATGTGACATCAAATGGAAATTACCTTATAAAATTATTCAAGTCTTACAAAAGCTGCCATTTATAAAATTTACATAAAAAATTACGCAATCTGTTAAGGTACTACTTTGGCAGGATTGACTGTGACCCTTGTTAAAAATAAACTATTTGCAGGTTTTTTTTAATTAAAAGTATTAGTACATATGTTTAACTTTGTATTTCAGATTTAAGTAACACTTCCCACTTAAAGTATTTATGGAAAATACTACACCTAAAACTGAAATAGTGAAAAACAGTGTATGAAATTTGTTGTCTTTTGATGGCTGTTATGCATTAGGTTTTACTATAAAGACATGCTTTTTGCTAATTTTGATTCCTAACACTACTGATATGCTTTATTCACTTAACAGGCCCTAGATGGTCAAAATATCTATAATGCTTGCTGTACCCTAAGGATTGATTTTTCCAAACTTGTGAATTTGAATGTGAAGTACAACAATGATAAAAGTAGGGATTATACTCGACCTGATCTTCCATCTGGGGATGGACAACCTGCATTGGATCCAGCTATAGCTGCAGCATTTGCCAAGGAGACATCCCTCTTAGGTATGATTTTTATTGTCTATACCACTTTCCTTCCATTTTGCCAGGTGGGAAAGTGCCTGTTAAAATCCAGTAAGTACAATCAGTTCCCTGTATTGGAATTTAAGAAACTATATAAAGTTTTATTTTTTTAGGTGAGAAGTTATATGAATGCTATTAAGAGGGAAATCTTAGTGTTTGTCATAATGTAGTTAAAATGATATCAACTATATTGCTTTCTCTACCTCATTTTCTCTCCCACACCACTCTACCAAAACAAAAGAACAGCTTTAATGAAATAATCCTGAGTGTTTAATAAAAGACGTACATTTAACTTAATGTCACCACTATCCAGGTCTAATTCTACCTGTGTGGGCTCTTGTGCCTGTTCTTTAAGGCTAATCTGATGGTTTTAATTTTGTATACATAGAAACAGTGAAATAAATGATACAACATGTAATGGTAGTAAGCATCTGGATTTTTTTTTTTAAGCATATTACAGTCTCCTTTAAAAATCAATTTAGATTAGAATTATTTGTAAAATTTAATTTGGTATTTTCGTGCATTTTTGTCTTAATAATTTATATTTCACCTTGTTCTATAATGGATTTGCCCCACCTAACAAAAATACAATGCAAAAATTTGGAACTAATAGTTGGACTCAAGAGGAAGAAAAAGTAAGGGGAAATGTTACTTGTAAGTAAAATAAGTGTGATATACACGGTGAAATTTTGCAGTTTGCTTTTACTTCATGTGTTTGGGAAATTTATGAGTTCTGGTATTTCTGAGATTATCTACAGATTATTGTTTTATACATATGTAGTATAAAACTGGTTAGTCACAAATGAGCTCTTACAGTTTATGTAATGTTGATCAATAACAGTAGCATTATATTGAAGTAATTCTTGGAAGTATTTACTGTGAATATGTAACTGTTGTACTTTCCATAATGTAAGTGATGTATCTATGAACAGGGACACAAGGACACTGTAATGCATGAGTTGATGTTTGAAATTAATACGGGTGACTTCAGATAAAATTGACCCTTTATTCTAATTTTCTAGCACATCAAGCACAAATGATAGCTGTTTATCATGAATGTAATAGATATTTTAACATTCTTTCTGTATAGAATTTCTATCACTCAACCTAGTTTAAGCATTTGTTTGTTCATTTTGGCTTGCAGATTGATAATATCAATTACTACATTTTCAAAGGTGAAGTCCTGAGTGAGACAATGAGTGATGCCTTACTTTTGCTTGCAGTTCTTAATGTAGGTTCTTAAATTCTTTTTTGATGGTAATTATCTTACAAAAGAGGAAAATAATCAACCATATTGAATAGTTTCTAAGTCCTAGGCATTCTGCTAGGCACTTGACAGATATATTTTTCGTCTTTTTTAAAACAGCTAAATGAAGTAGGCAGTGATACCAGTGTTTTACTTATAGTTCCTGAGCTTAAGATTAATATGCAGCTTATTAAAGAAACAGTTTAAGGGTAAAATAACAAGTATCTCCAGCTAGCATCTAACATAGGACCACTTCTTTGGACCCTTCAAAATAGTGTGTGTTTACTTATGTTTGTTGATTCTGGCCTGAGTCCTGGTTAGTTGTCATCGGGATTTTTCTGGGAAGTCATTACTTTTTTCTTTGTAATCATGGCCATAGTGAAACTTTTTTAGAAAGTTTTTCTGAGTAAAGATGATGAATCTTTGGCATATTTTCTGTCTTACTCTGTGCTTTTATGCATTCTTTAGGTACAATTTGCACTAAAAGCATGTGAGTAAAATTGCTTGGTTCTTAATATATTTGTCTTCTTCCAGCTCTGCACTGAATTTTTGAAGTTTAAATGGTTTTGTTTCTGCTTCATAAGAAAAAGGAAAATGTTTTGTTTTGAAAATATAATTTCATCTTCTTTTACTAAATAACTATCATTTACCTGTTTTAATGGCTTTGCATAATTTGCATTATGACTGGGCTTTTTATTTTTTGTATCTTCAAATAGCTTTTGAAAGTGAGTTATAATTTTTAAATACCTAATAACAGACTTAGTTACTAGCAGTAAACATGGTCATACTTTTTATAAGGTATTTTCTCTTTTTTCTCTTTATAAATATATATTTTTGTACAAAATAAAATCAGAGTATTTACAATTGTTATTTTATTGTAATTGTCGTCTTAAGTTTTTTTTCTACTTTTTTTCTTAACCTACTTCCATACTTTTTGTTAGTCTGCTGACATTGTGATAAGTTCCCTGCACATAATTTCATTGTCTCAAAATTATTTTCTCAAGTTGGATTCCTAGACCTGGAATTTTTGGATCAAAGAATGTTAAAGTCTTCTGATTCTTAATGAAAATTTCTTTCTAGAAAGGTGATAAAATTTCAGGCTAATGGTAAATGAGACTGGTAATCTGCTTCTTCCCTGTCAGTGTTCAGTATTACATTTTTAATTTGATGTGATTATGGTTAATTTTTTTAGCAAGCTACTTTATAATTTTTAAACTTACTAGATAATTAGAAGTCTGAATTCCTATTGGGATGTAAAATGCTTATTAAGGATATTATTTTCATATTTGATATGAGCTGAGCCTTCAACTTCATTTACATATTTCAGACTGACCAGTTTTGGGAGCATTTTTAAATATTCATCTCAATTCAGAAGTCTCCACTTATAAGCTACCATTAAGGTAACTTTTTAAAACCCCACACAATTTATAAAGATGACAGTCTTTATAAGGAATCACTTACGGTTTGCTTTCTAAAGTAGTCTTCAAACACATTTACAGCAACTTCCAATAATTGCTTTAGTAGTTTATGACTTCTAGAATAGTAACTTTTTTCTCCTTTTATTTGCTTCCAATGATATTTAATCAAAGGATTTCAGAGAACAACCAAATGTTGTACAACCAAATGTAATGATGGGAATCTTCTTCTAACAGTACTTGTTCAAAATGAAATAATTAATAGGTATTGCTTTATTTCAGGAATTCTGTAAGAACATAAGCGTAAGGTGATAATTTTTTTCTAAGTATTTAGAGACATTCACTAACTTGTATGAGTTTTTATTTTATCTAAGTACTTGACTAAATTTAATTACCTTGGAATCAATACTATGCATTTTGTTTGATTTATTTTAAGACTAACACCTATACCTGACTTCTCTGTTTCTTTCTTTTAGTGCTAGGAATCACAGTTTCTCAGAAAATGTAATTAATTCAAGAAGAGAAACTGGAGTGCTTTGTAATTAGTTAGAAATGTGACATCTAAATACATAATCACAAATCTGGCAGACTATTAGTTATTCACATATTCTACTTCAAAGAACAAGGTGATCAAAAATCCTTGCGATTATAAATTGAGACATCATTATAATGATCATTTTATCATGTTTAAGTGTAGTTAATTTATTAAGGGGTGGATCAATTTTGGAGAAATTGCTAGAAGTAGTTGATTTTTTATGATGTTGTCTACATTTTAAAAATTGGGGCAGGTAGTATGTTTGGAGAATACTTTAGACCTTTCTGTATATTTGGGGTTTAAGAAAGTCAACCATTTTCATCATAAGGTCTTAAAAGAAAGGAAAAGCATACTTTCTGCAGAAAATTTGTGGATGTTAAAATAATAAGAAGAGATATAAGAAACATACAATCATATATGTAGTTTGTAAAGTTTGTATTTTTTTAAAGTCCCAAGGTGTTAATAAGTGCTAAGGTTTAGCTTTGTAGCAAAGTTATTAGTATTGTCCTAAAAACATTCTTTATAACTATTGAGCAGTATTTTCTTGCCTTATTCAGTATAAATCTATGTTGGTATAATTCTTCTTTAACTACTTTAGTTAATTGAATTTACTTTTTCTTTTCTATGTATTTGTGATACAGTCTTAACAAGTAAAAATTGAAAACAATTTTAAAAAATGATTTCTGAAAACTTGCTTTTCTTTGTTACTTTTGAATGGGCTCTTCAGATGGTATTTTTAAAATATGAATGGTTATTTCACTTATCTTTTACTAAATGTAATGAAATACATATACCCATCATCTCAATTCAGTTCCTATTTTATTTCATCTGTTCAGTTTTTCTATGGTATTTTGAAGCAATGTCATGATCTCATCTTAAACATTAGCATAATATATCTATAGTGATGACATTTTCTTATCAAATCATAATATAATTACCATTCCAATCAAATTTGACAATGATTTTTTAAATGTCATTGAATACCTAGTTCATCTTCAGGTTTACCCAGTTCTCACTGTTATTTTGTATGAGTTAGATTTGTTCATAGTGATTATTGTTGTTGTTATGGTCTTGCCCAATAGCCCCCCCAAAAAAGGAGGGTGGACAAAGGACTAAACAGAAATAGTTAACATTGAGATCTGTTTCTGTCAAAAAAGGATTTAGTCCCATAAAATAAAATGCTGGGAAGTATTAGTATTTTCTCAGTAAATACCAAGAGACTATATAAACCACTTCTTATAGCTAATTGTGAGATAAAGCTAACCTTCAGATATGAGTTATTTATTCAATCAAGGGATTAACATCCCCTAAGTGTCCTTTTTCTTGTACCATGTGTATATGTCATCTATTTCTATTTATTTTTATCTATTTATTTTTAATGTGATTTTGTAACATGTGCAGGAAAGTCATATCTTTTGTGAAACATTGCTACCTTATGCTTTTACAGTAGTGAGGAGGGAAAAAACTACAAACCCATGCTAATTGGTAGATAGCTAAGCAAAATGTTGTAACAGTGAGTTAAATGGAGCAGTCCTTGTATATTTTCTTACAATTTATTTAACTGATGCCTGTTTTTCCGTGTGTATGTGTGTTGTTTAGAAAATAAGATATAGTCATTTGTTATATTTTAGGTATTATTTAATCAGTTTTACGTTGTTCAAGGTTTTAGTATCTTCCAAGGAAACTAAAACATCAGGCAGTCTGACCCCAACAAGCTATTTGGAATTTCTTACCTTTTTTTAAAATTTGGAATTTCTTTTCTTTTTCTTTTTTTTTTTTTTTTTAA